CCCACTGGCTTGGCAACAGGGACACAGCCCAGGTAACACACAGGGAAGCGCTGAACCACCTCACTCTTGGGGGCTGGGAACTCCACTGTGGGGGAGGCACTGTCAGACACCCAAAGCCCCCCAAAACACCCCAGAGCCCGAACATCCCTCCAGAACCCCTCCCCACCCCTCAGTACTCACCCAGCATGCAAACCCCCCATCAAGACCTCTTGGAGGCTGGGCACTCCAGTGTGGGGGGAACATGGCAGATGTCCCAGAGCCCTTCAAGACCCCCCCAGAACACCCCCAGAACTCCCAACACCCCCAACTGCACTGCCTTGCTCCTGGGGGCCAGGTGGTGGGGAACATTGTCAGACACGTCCCCAAACCTCCCTAAAAGCCACCCTTCTCCCAGCTGCCCTTCCCCAGCAAAGGCAACCTCCAGACACACAAGCCCCCTCCTCTGTAGTCGCCCTATCCCCTCGCAGGACTCCCCCAGGAGTCCTCCAGCCATTCTTAGTCACTCCCAGACTCCCAATCCCTTCCTGGGTACCCCCCAGCACCACCCCAATTCTTTCACAGGTACCCCCCTTAAGCCCCATACCCTGCAGGGGAGGCTCCCCCAGCCGGGGGGGGTCTGTCCCCAGGCCGTTGCCTGCTGCCCGGACACTTCGCCGTTCCGCCGTCAGCTGGGGGACAGGGGGACACAGCCCCCTCAGATGTCACACCACAGTGACCTCCAGGGACCCCGTGGTGACCCACAGTCCCCCAGACGTCACACAAGGGGCACCCGTAGCCCTCCTGGCTGTCACACCGTGGACAGGGACACACGGGGACCCTCAGGGATCCCTGGCCCCTGTGCCCTGCAGCAGGTCTGTGGGGTGGGGAGGGGCTCACTCAGGAACAGGCTTTGGGGTTGGCTGGAGGGGCCCAGAGGTCTCACCTGTGAGCAGATGTGGTGCAGGCTAGGGCATGTCCTGGTGGGTTTCTGGGGGTCTCACCTGGGCACAGATGTGGTGCAGACCACAGAAGGGGAATTTGGGGCGGGTTACCTTGGCCTGGGGGGTCTTGGGGGTGTTTCATCGGGGCCCAGACCTGGTGCAGGACAGGTGGGGGGTTCTTGGGGGCTTTTTTGGGGTCTCATCTAGGCAGAGATGCAGCTCAGGCCAAGGTGGCAGTTTGGGGGGGAAACCAAGTTTGGGGGCTGGGAATGTTTTGCCTGGACACAGAACCGGTGTTTGGCCAGAGCGGGGATTCCCAGGGAAATTTCACGGGGTGTCTCACTTGATCACAGACATGGTGCAGGCTACGGGGATGGTTTGAGGGGGTCCTGGGGA